AATTTGTTAGTGGTTATTGCTTTTTATTGCCGTTTGTAGAAAAAATATTGTATGATATTTGTGTTAAAAGTATTTTTAAAGCACTTATGTGAATTGCAGAATTCGCTTCGCTCATTCTGCAAACTTTCACATGCGTGCCTTAAAAATGTACTTTTAACACTTATATCATAAATAACTATTATATTATATGCAAAAGGTTCCACAAAATATTAACGAAGACTCAATTATTTCATAAGATGGTGCCAATTCCGCATTTATAGTTGTCGTATAAACAAACTGAAAATGTTCTTGAGGCTAGGTATTGTAGTTTTATAATTTTTTGTCGAAAACGTTTTGGCATTTATAATAAAATATCAAACTGCTAGTTGGGTTCTGTCAGCCTTCGATTGGTAAGTTGCTACAGTACGATTTTCAAATCAAACATTGGCCTGGTAAACTGCATAACTAACAACGCAGATATGCAAGCACTGCCTCTGAATTGATCATCGTGAAAAAGTTTCTATTAAAAGCAAGAAGCCTTCAGGACGGAGCTCCGAACAGCTTGGAAATGATCAATTAGAAGACAGTGACATTAAACCATTTATGAACCTGAAAGGAAACCAGCAATGAATGCCAACAAGTTGCAAGAAACAGATTCCGGCGAGCGAAGAAAGAAAAATTGGGAACAAGAAGATTGGTGGGATACGGCTGCTGTTCCAGAAGGGCCGTATTTTCCTTTATGCAGACGCTCTACATATTCCTACGGTGAGGAATACCACAAGTGCCAAACGATATGATGGACTTGGGTTCGTAGATCCAACTATCAACTACAATATGCAGTTATTTAAAAAAATTGTGAACACATAAATCTAATTTCGAATTGCTGATTTTGATGATCACTAGGCCCAGTTGTACAATCTTGGTTCATAACAGAGTTTAGCTGAACTCGACTCAAAACCGAGTTCAGCTGAACTCGACTGGTACTTGAACTTCCCCATTTGAAATGCATTGCTGTCAAAAATGATAGACTTTGAATAATAGCTGACAGCAATGTATTTTAAATAGGAAACCTCAAGTACCAGTCGAGTTTAGTTGAACTTTGTTTTGAACCGAGATTGTACAACTGAGCCTTAGTGAAGTACCTAAATATAATCAGCTTTCATTTATATATTTCTGCGATCAAATAGTGATAAATACTGATATGCATCAACATTTCAGTATGTCAGCTCTTTTCTAATTTGCTATTTTATGTTACTGAGCAATTAATATTTCACTGAATGCTGCGGCCTTTACCTATTCTGTCCAAAGCGAAAACATAATCGAATCATCCAACAGTGAGGTGTGAGGTGTATATTTTTTGTTCTAAAAATGCTTAGTCCACCTCTAAACGAGGTGGTCCTTCCTCATTATATGTTCCTCAGCATATAGATTTTTGTGTCCATGCACTCTGTCATCAATTTTTTGTCAATTTAGTCGAAATAGGAAATGGAATAGGACCGGGGCGCCAAAGCCGTCGGGAAATATCCACCGCAGTTTTCAGTTTCAAGTGCAAATTTAAGTTTGGCATGTGGAAATTTCTGTAATAATAACCACATTTTATGGGGATCTGCTAGAATAGGGTTAGATGGGTACATGCTGACTGAAAAATATGCACGTTTTTAGGCCGAAAGCAATTAGAAAGTCTGCCAAGTATCTAAATACCTACCATTTTCTTTCACACTAGATATTATAGGTAAAAAATAGATAAAATTCAGGTAAAAATATGATGGGGGATTTTTTAAATAATTTATTTCCATAATATATTTGATAATATTATATTTTATATGTACAAAGTATAATAATTATATAATTTATTTTATAAACATTAAATTAATAGGAGCAATTCATGCCCCTTTTATAGATTTGGAAGTCCAAGTGATATTCCTGGCATAATAAGTACAAAAAGATTACAATAACACATTTGAAGAACAGAAAATATGCCGAAAATCACGTAACGTAGATTCAACAGCTGCCAATGTACATAATAGCCGTCAATTTCCATCATAGGTATTGCCTTTTTGGTTTTTATATAATAACGTGACAACAAATTATGGTTATGATGGTACACCTAGATACTAATATTAATACGATTGTTACAATATAATATCAAATATGTATAATGTTTGCGATAGGTAGACTGAAATAGTGTTTATTGCCACATTATTTTGTCAAATCAATGAAGAAATTAGGCATTTTATTTTATTTTGAAATTAATGTAATGACGACGACAAGGAAATTTACCAAAAAGATCATTTTGTGAGATTGTTACAAGCATTGTCTACGATCATATATAATACAGGTAGCTATAGGTATTATTGATAAAAACATAGCTAAAATGTAAATTTGGCTTTGGATTAGGGAACAATCATTGAGTGTAATGATTTATATACTGTGTGACAAAAAAAACGCATCACCCCATACAAGTAAATATTTGTTAACCAAATTCTGTACATATTATGCTTGGTCTATTAAAAGTAAAATTTAATTTAATAAAAAATATAAAAATAAAGTGAAATTTAATCAATAATTTTATTATTTTTTACGCCATTACCATAATTGGTAGATTTTTTTTTTAAATATAGTCTTTTAGTGGGTGATGCGTTTTTTTTTCTCACATAGTATAGGTATATTTTATAATACAACCATTGTAATCCGAACTATGCACGCCATTCTCAACATAGATAGGTGATAAAAGTGTGAGAATGTGTTTTTAACTACATAATTAAATATGATGTATTTTTATTTATTGGCCCTAAATCATCAGGTGCTATTGTCCTAAAGGCACCTAAAGTGTTATAGTATTGTAGTAGATATCTAGATATATGTATCCTTATCTTTCCTGCAGTTTTTCTTCTTCTATTTTATCACCATGTTCAACATGATAGGTATGTTGGAATAAATTTTAGATACCTACGAGTTTTCCAGTTGATAGAGTGAAATAATATTGGAGTTAAGTATAATGAAATTTTGATACTGAGTGTGAAAGTGTGAAGGTCTTATGAAATATAGGGCTGTGGAAGCGAAGCTTTAAAATAAAAGGCTAAAGCAGCTTTATCACTAAATAAAACATGATTGACAGTGTTTGAGTTTCAAATTATATAAGAATTTTCCTTGCTATAAATATAGATAAACATTTGAAGGCGGATTTTGATTTTATATAATTCTGATGTTCTAATGATGCTGCGCTATTTGTGAGATTTTTCTGCATCCGCTATGAACCTCAACCCTGTACACTTACAGGGTCATTTTTTATATTTTTCCACCACGCTCAAATTTTTTGTGCCACTGTGTATAAGAAAGATGTATGGCTTGGAAAATAGTTCTCAGAAAACATAGTTTTGTTCATACAGGGTGTCGCAGAAAGTTTAAAAAGTCATATAGCTATCATCAACTGAACTGCTGGACAAATGAAGCGGAACAAGCGAATTTTTAGTTCAACTTTGGATTCCAATACCTATATTACGCGAACTGAAGAAGATATCAATGAGTGCTGTACATAAAAATAATTATTGTTTCATTGTTTCAATGGAATGAGAATTTTGAATCGTAGTTATAGGTACTCAATAATAATTTGAAATTGATGTTGTCAAAATATTACCTATGTCGTTGATTCTATTAAAAAAACCTGATTTAATCAAAGAGTTATATAATTATATATGTATAGGTATTGGTATGCTTTCTGATGCGGAGCTTTTATGATATGTTTTTGAGTAGTACCTACCTAGGTGAGTACCTAAGAGACTTCGATATAAGTCAGTCTGAGTAAGTAACTTGTTTACCATTTTTAGATGCGGGTTTCTTAGTCAAATATAGGTAGGTAGTGTAGGTATACTTGAAATTTTAATATTTTTTTCTTTAGAATTGAAAATTACATAATATAGGTAGGCACCTACAGCAAACCAAGGGAGTGTATATTTAGGTACACCTTTTATACATACTTAGGAGCTTTTTGTTGCCTAGTCTCGTATACAGGGTGGCCGGAAAATCAACGATAATAAGTACTGAATAAAGAGTTGGTGGAACAAGTCATAAGCACCCTTCCAGTATTATCGATGACTTTCCCCTGACACCCTGTATAGTCACTTGGCACCAACTATATTATCTCCAGGTACATCTATCCAAAAAATTTGATCGTTCCCAAGATTTTGAATGTGAGGAAGTGTTATATATTCAAATATTTCATAAGCGATAATACCGTTGAAAAAAAAAAAATATTGCCATAATACGTATATTACACCAAAAATTTGATGCAAGTGATGAACTAAGTCATATTATCAAAGTCTATATTATAATGCAAGAAATTTTATTGTGCGACCATAGAAACGATGATAAAAATTCCTAATGGTTCGGTTTATTGTATCTAAGTCAGGTTGTATAGTGTATAGATATAAATTTTGGCCTATTAAGAACCCAGATTAATTTAACAGCTTGTCAAGCATACCTAGGTTATACCTACTTTAAATACTACTGCCTTTAAATTATGATAATAGGAATCAATACTAGGGAGGCTACCTACATGTGACTACCAATAAAGAAAGATAGGTAAATAATAATTGTACCAACATCAAATAATAGCTTCGAAAAAAAAAAAGAATCGCGGACTTGACATCTTTAGTGCCTTTGCACATCGACTAGGTACCTAGGTATATATACCTACTTATTATGAAAACAAGAATTTCAAATTGGATTTCAGAAGTGAAATTTTCATTACCAAAAAAATTATTCAGTTACCTTATATAGTTTTAGGCGGAAAAATAAAATCTAAATTTCCTATAGGAATATATGCATGAACTTTGGTGTGCATAGCTTGTAGATGTAATTTCACTTCGAAAATACTAGGTTCTGATGGTTTGAATTAATTCGGATTAAAATGGTTCAACTGTATAGTGTTTGTATTATTAAGAAAAAAAATAATTTATCACTGGGTTTTAATATACATTGGAAAATTTAGTGGTGGTATAAATCTATAAATGAAATTGTCTTTAAGAGTCTGGACTCACGTTATGCGTCGGATCCGTAACTAAGGAATCTGCCGTCGTTGACCTGGTTTGCAGTAACGCTTGATAATAATTCACTATAGGAAACATTGGCCATGCTTTAGACTCTACAGAGTCTTGTTGATCACTAGAAACAACATCAATGTCTTCTTCATTGGTTTCTTCGCCAGAATCGGGTGCCAAGAGACTTGCGACATCAAATTGTCGCTTTCTCGTGTTTCGCGTATGCGAAGATGATGGAAAAACTGATGTCGATGGTCCAGGAAGTACTGGAGGACTTACTGATTGTGGTGGTGGACTTGGTGAATCTGCACCATCCTCATCAACTGCTAAACCCATATGTTTGCGAACTTTCCTTTGTGCTTTACGTCGTCTAAAGTCACCTTTGCGAAAATCTTCAACATTAGCTGGATGTATTGCCCAGTAATGGCCTTTGCCGTTAGCGCTACGCCCTGCTTTAATGAAGCAATCATTTAGGGATAAATTGTGACGTATTGAATTTTTCCAACCTGGCGCTCTCGAACGAAAATATGGATAGTTATCCAGGATATGCTGATAAATATCCGAAAGCACCAATTTTCCTTCTGGAGAGCCTAAAATGGCCATTGCAATAAGGCCGATATAACTGTGTTGAGGTTTAGGCTCTTCTGGTTGTAGAGCGCGTGGAAATAATGGGTAGCAAGTTAAAGATGATGGAAATGGATTAAGAAGCGGATACCTTAGACGTTCTGCTACAGCATACTGATATAGTTGAAGACGGTAGTGATCTATCGAGAGCAATGCTCGTGGACCATTGGCTTCTAATGGAAAAGGCATCGGCAATCGTGGAGACGTATTTGGTGGGCTTTCGTTGCTGCACATTTTTAATAATTGATTAGAAAATCACTCACTTAAGTTTTTTGGGCTACGCACTATTAAACTATAATCACTACATGCACACTTTCACTATAGTAAAGAAATGCATCAGACTTTAGACTTTAGTTTTTATCAGCATAATTACAAATTCTCTCAGAGATGTTTTACTGTTCTACTAAAGCACTCATCTGAGATCTGGGTATCTAAACATGTAACAAACACTTAACTATTTGTCGACCAATATTTGATAACAGTTGATAGGCGGAGAACAGGCTGGCCAATCGCCACCAGGGATGCCCTTCCGGCAGGGTAAAGCCACGCCTCGCCATCATGACGATCTTCCAACTGCCTACTTTCTCTCCCCTAAAAAAGGAAGGGCAACTGCCGCCTGCAAAATCTTTACTATTTGTCTAAATCCATGGAATTTACATTTTACCTACATTTCGGTTTATACGTATATTTAGGAGATTATTATATCTACATATCAATATAGAATTCTTTTATTGACTTGTGTTTCTGAAATCAACCATTGGGGAGAGTTTATGAAATACATTAGGTAAGTATCTTATTTCAAATGTATACCTACCTATATCAATTTACGAAAATGAAATTATGGCCCGCACATGCACCTAGGTATCTAGGTAGGTAACACGAGGAAAAAAATCCCACCACAATCGAATCATCTAGGTAATATAGGTAGGTAACGTTTTAGAACCAAATACTACCATTTCAACAAATTTTTCAAATTGCCAATTGGCCTTGCAACTTTATTTGTTTTTCGAGCATTTCATGGTGGTACACGAACCTTTGGAGGTAACGGGCACTGATCTCAAAAATAAATGGATAATCGATCGTACGACTTGATTGGCTGAACTTGTGCGAAAATTTGAGGTCAACATTCTACGAACAGTTGTGCAACGGAACAGCCTTACGCCTGCGCAGTGTCTTATCTTTCGAACAACTGTTCTGAATTTTGAAATACTTATCCTTCATTTTCATTGACAATATTTTGTGCACGCAGTACATGTATCTACTGCGCACGCTCACAGCTGTCCCAGTTGTTAACATTATTATGACCTCGTAAATTAGCAGCATTAGAAGAGTTCTTTGTTTATCCATTTATTTTTGAGATCAGTGGTAACGGGTCTTAAAAAAAAACGTAAATCAAAGATGGCTATGATGTTTTGAACGTATTTCTTAGCAATATTTTCCCATAATTCTGTAATGTCATGTCGATTTGTCATTTGACTGGATGTCATAAACAAAAACAAATAAAACACGAACACGAATGAAGTTCTTAGAAGACCCCATAATAATAGTCGGTATGGAAAATAATGCAAATATTTTCTTAAAATCGTGTGACAAGTTCCACTAGATAAATTATTTTGTTGTTGTACCAAGAAATTGAAGGTTTCGATTTCCATTCGTTACTTTGACATTTGGTACCTATATCTGGAAACCGACGCGACGTCCGTGTTTGTAATCAAAGGACTCTTTGATTTAGTTTTTTTTTGAAGACCCGCGCGTTATCTTTCCTATTTGCCTTTGAGAATCATTCGATCGATATTGGTGACTAATATCGAATGATTGATATTACCTAATTTGAAAGACAACAAAACGGTCACAAAGTTAGGTAGTAATACAATCATACATAATAAATATCTATCTATGGGAGATGATAAGTTCCAATTCATGGAGGTACCTAAATACCGAGCTAAATGCTAATCGAAAATTGATGTTTATTAAATCTATTTTTTCGTTTTTGAAGATTTTGGGTAGGTAGGAAGCTTCCACATATGGTACATAATTGCATGTGTTTCGACAGTTATGTTTGTTTAACAATAAACCAGACCTTTAATTGATATTTTCGTTAAATCGTTATTGAAAATATCATGGCCTTTTGAGGCGATTTGCCTATTTTTTTTGTGTCGTCCATTCTTTTCCGAAAAACAAGTTGGTTCTATATGTTCCTTGTACGAATGTGGCGATCCTTCTGTCTGACAAATGTAAAATTTTGGTATACCTACATTATGTATCTCAGGGGTATACAGGATGTTTCACATACAAGTAACTACATGGGGATTTCGGCAACGGTAAGAGATACAATTTTGGTTAAATGGTAAATGGATGGGAAGTTGCGCTATTGGGCAATCCACCGACCTGTCAAAAATGGCGCATGGTTGGCAAAAATATACAAAAAACATATGTTTTCTTTTGGCGGATTATCAATACGCGGGGCTCAAAATCTGACACTTTTCTGAAATCGTTGACATGTAACATCCCGTATTCTAACCTCATGCATAAAAATTTCGAAATGCCGGGTGGTTGGCAAAGTCACGTGGTTTGGATTCCCCAATCAGATGCTGCATCGAAATTGGAAATATCTACAGGAGTTTTCAAAATACCTATCGAACAAAAACTAAAAATTGTGTTTTTTGAAAAATTGAAATATTGTCGCCATTTCGTAAGCAAATTAATTAAAATTCGGTAGTTTTGTATTAGCGATTACGGGCAATCGAATGACTTCAAATTTTTTCCAGGCCTTTTAGTTTTTTTGCAACCATAGCCAACTGTTATTTCTTAATGCCGCTGTATTGTTTTTTTACGTCATTAAATGGAGCATAAAAAGGTCTTTTTAACCATGTATAACAGGCCTATCTTTGGATGACGGAAAATGTAGATTTATATTGAAAAAAGTAGTTTTTCACTTAGGTACCTAAGTTAGTTGTGAAACAAATGCCGTAATTGTGTTTTTTATCATAGCTTTGTAACTGTAGATATGTTCAATTTCGATACAGCATCTTATTAGGCTCGGAATAGCGCAACTTTTTTCCCGTTTAACCAAAATTGTATACCTTACCGTTTCCGAAATCCCCATGTAGGAACTTTTATCTGGGACACCATGTATATGGTGGAATACCACGGCTATCAGAAACGCATCCATATTTCAGGCCGAAGTGCTGGCCATCGAGTTTGACGCGAAAAATCTGCTGGAAATGGAAAAACAAGTAAAGCAACAGACGCACAAGTCGATAAAAACATTTTCTGATAGGCAGGCGGCGCTGAAAGCACTGGAATCCATCCATTGCACGTCGAAAACAGTATGGAACTGCAAACAAGCCCTGGTCCAGCTAGGGGAAAACAACAACGTTTCACTAGTCTGTATATTGGGACACACCGGACAAGAAGGCAACAAAAAGCGGATCAACTTGCAAAAGCTGGATGCGAGCTCAACTTCATTGGAACGGAGCCAGTATACTGGGAATAGTCCTAAATAAGGCTAACCTCACAATCTCGACCTGGGGCCAATACAGAGGCCAAACAATATTGGTCGAGATTACCAGGCAAGAACCATGCAAAATCCAAAAGGGGGGAAAGTGGCACACACTGCACTTCTGGGAATGGGGGAGGAAGAGCCTCAAAGCCCTGGTGGGTCTGTACACTGCACATTGCAGACTTCGATATCACATAGCACAAAAGCCAAGCGTCGCCTGTATGGAAGAAGACGAAACTGCAGAACATGCCTTAAGCACCTGACGGCAATAGCCACAACCAGGCACGCTTTTTTCGGGGAGACAGCTGTTCGACAAGAATACATAGAGCATGCTTTTCCCACACTTATTTCCATCTTTATAAGGAGAGCTGAACTGGTGCGGGAAATATAAACTCGGAGTGAGCCACAGGTCGCAGTGGACGGGACAACATCGGACCACTCGCAAGAAACCTTACCTAACCTTTGTAACAGGTAATCCAAACCACGTGACATTCAAGATGGCGTGGCGGCCACACCTTGGGCCACACATGGGCCAAATTTCATTTTTTAGTCGTGTGCTGTTTGTTAGGAGTTTCACAGTGCTCTAAAGTGTATTTGTTAGGGGTGAATCTGTTAAGTGCAATACGACATGATCATTATGCAGAAGAGCCAATATTTGCAAGCACTTGCCCAACCAGGATTATCCACATCCTCTAACTTACTTGGTTTTCCTATTATAAAACCATATGGTGATTGGACATGATACAAAATAGCACTAATTTATTTTCAAGCTGTGATAAAATACTTACTACAAACTCATTGGTTTGCTTCTTTGCATTCCGAAAGATCGTTCCGCTTGATTGCCGCTAACCATGCGATTCGGTTTTTTCCTGATAGTTCATCTAAATGGGGAAAATATGCTGAACTGGTCACGCTTAGGACTAGGACCCTGTAGAAATATACATTGTCCCTTTCTCGGCGGCTTCCACATCTCACAACCAGACACTTATCCGGCCTTTCATAACACTAACAAAGCAAAATAACTGAAATATGCATAAAAAACACATATTTAAAACAAACTTGCTTGGCCTCCACGCCATATTGAATTTTTTTTTGACAGATGGATTGGATTGCCTAATAATAAGTTATTGCTAACCATGCATATTGCTATAATATGAACCCTATGTCCCATTATTAGCTGCGGCCTGTTGAATAATATTAAGTTGTTCAATGTTCAACATAATTCTTCTTAAACCTTGAGTCTAGTTTCAGATTCATCAGAATCAAATATGTATAGAAGTCGATTGGAAGAAGTCGAGACAATTCTCCATGAACAACTTCAAGATATTGTAGATGTAGGTTTCTTTAGTTTGATCTCTTTTGGATCAAAATTATTTCGAATTTGACACGACTTGGTTTTTTGAAGATCAATGACAAATCTAACAATGCAAATTACCTTGACGAAAAAGACCATCTTTATAAAAACGATTTAAAAATATTACACACAGAAAATATTAAAGTAAAAATGTCTCAATATATTGTTGAACGAACAGGTAGAAATCACAATAATTCTCCTTTATTGAATTTTTATTCAGTATTTGTTGTCCAGTTGTCTATTAAATTTGAAATATGATGGAGCCAGATTGATGGAAATAATAATACGATTTCAATAATTATTATTACTGGGTAAAAACCAAATGTGTCTATTAATGTCAAATTTCCGAATACTAATTTCAAAACTGATAGCTGATAA